TGTCAAGACTGCATGGGATTAAAATGCCCCAGAGAAGTGCTCCTCAAAGTGTTAGGTCTGCTTTACAGACCGGGTCTCTGCTGTGGGTTTTCTCTCTCTGCTGTCCTTTCTTCTTTTGTGATTTTTTCATACAGACCTCACTCAATACTTCTGCAGCTATTTCAGAGTCCAAAGAGAAATGTGGCCATGGTATATACCAACTTTAAATGTACTTTTATATCACGGCTTTTCTTTCCAGTCAGGTATTTTATAATAACAAACAGTAACAAAGGCTTTTTTTTTATTACTTAAGATATTCAGTGGCTTTTGTCTTCCTAGCGTCAGCAGTAACGTCAGAGGATCGTATCCAAGGAGCTAAATGTGCAGGACCCAGGGTCAGAGCAGCTGAATACACCAACCTCAGAAAACACAGACAATGAATTGCAAATGACACTCAAAACAAAACGTGAAAAAAAACCTTCACACAGGAAACTACAAAAGAACTCTACAGACACTGAATTGGCTTTCTGTACACACTGATCCTGCTTAACTGTGTGTGGTAACTAACCAAACGCTTCGGATACTCATGGCCACAAAACACTTTTTTTTTTGGTGGGGAGAGAGGATTATAAAAATAAAAATATTATTTCCTTCAAGTCTTATCCTTATTAAAAAAAAAAAAAAGATGCACTAAGTGGAGATAGACGCGGCTCTTTCTGTTTCGATCTTCAAACACGCTAAAGAGTGGCATTAGTGATGACGTGATTGGTCTTCCGTTAATTCTGCTGAAGGTTCTACACAAAACGTGTATTGTTTCAGCCAGGATTCACATCATGAAACAAAATGGTTTGGTAAATCCAATAGAAGTGATAGCCCTTTCACCACACACAGGGTTCAGTACTGTATATTTCAACTTGTTAGCAAGTCAGAAGCACAAGTGGGAAATCAGCCTACACTGCTGCTGAGGATGAATGGAAAAAGCTAAATTGATGAGTTGCTGTTTAGATTTTCCCACTGGGAATTACTCTGAACTGTCCAGGCATTACATCATTCAGGTAAATGGTAGCAGGACAACATGCTTTTTATTTCTTCCTGGCTAACCAAAGAGCAATATAAAAACTGGAAAAGAAATATATACTCTCTACTAATAATGAAGAAATAAAAAAAAAGCAAAAACCAAACTCATTGCCATTGAGTCAATTCCGACTCACAGTGACCCTACAGGACACAGCAGAACTGCCCCATAGGGTTTCCAAGGAGCAGCTGGTAGATTCGAACTGCTGCCTTTTGGTTAGTACCAGCAGCTCTTAACTACTGCCTCACCAGGGCTCCAATGAAGAAAGTGAAGAAATAGGATTCCTCAATTGTTACGCTGTGATTAATCACAGCTTATTGTAACTGGGAAGCTCACTGTGTCCTAGTTGTTACCCAAAGGCAATGCAAAATCTTTCCCTCAACATTTTTACATTTCCTTATGAAGCTCACTTGTAATATACTTTAAATAGAGATAAAAGTCATACTGATGTGTAAAAATGGTGTGGGGGACAGCTTCTGACCTCTAACTTCGCCAGGGATGAGGAGAATCGAGATCAACAGCCTAAGGCTGATTGCTGAGGTGGAGATCAGACATATCTCCTCTCTCCAGACACCAGCTGTTCCTCTCATAGCACTCTCTACTTCTCTGCTGGGTTCGAGAATTCATTTCAATTGCCACACAGAATTCACAGGCCATACAACTATGGAGTTTATTAGAGAAGTGTTGTTCTTGTTAGGCACCTTCAAGTTGGTTCTGACTCACTGCGACCCTATGTACAAAAGAATGAAACACTGCCCGTTCCTGCGCCATCCTCACAATCCTTGCTATGTTTGAGCCCGTTGTTGCGGCCACTGTGTCAATCCATGTCCTTGAGGGTCTTGCTCTTTTTCACTGACCTCTCTACTTTACCAAGCATGATGTCCTTCTCCAGGGACTGGTCTATCCTGATAACATTTCCAAACTATATGAGACATAGTCTCACCATCCTTGCTTCTAAGGAGCATTTTGGCTCTGTACTTCTTCCAAGATAAATTTGTTCATTCTTCTGGCAGTCCATGGTACATTCAATATTCTTTGCCAACACCATAATTCAAAAGGCATCAATACTTCAGTATTCCTTTTTCATTGCCTAGCGTTTGCATTCATACGAGGTGATTAAAAATAACATGGCTTGGGTCAGCGCACCCAAGAGTTCTTTTGCAGCAGATCTGCCCAATGCAATGCGTCCTTTGATTTCTTGACTGCTGCTTCCATGGGTGTTGACTGTGGATCCAAGTAAAATGAAACCCTTGACAACTTCAATCTTTTCTCCATTTATCATGATGTTGCTTATTGGCCCAGTTATAAGGATTTTTTGTTTTCTTGATATTGAGGTATAATACATACTGAAGGCTATAGTCTTTGATCTTTATCAGTAAGTGCTTCAAGCACTCTTCACTTTAAACAAGCAAGGCTGTATTATTTGCATATGGCAGGTTGTTAATGAGTCTTCCTCCAATCGTGATACCGTGTTCTTCTTCATATAGTCTGGCTTCTCGGATTATTTGTTCAGCATACAGATTAAATAAGTATGGTGAAAGGATACAACTCTGATGCACACCTATCCTGATTTTAAACTATGCAGTATCCCCTTGTGCTATTCAAACAACTGCCTCTTGGTCTATGTACAGATTCCTCATAAATACAACTAAGTGTTCTGGAATTCCTATTCTTTGCAATGTTATTCATAATTTGTTATGATCTACACAGTCAAATGCCTTTGCATAGTCAATAAAACACAGGTAAACATCTTTCTGGTATTCTCTGCTTTTAGCTAGGATCCATCTGACATCAGCAATGATATCCCTGGTTCCACATCCTCTTCTGAATCCAGCTTGAATTTCTGGCAGCTCCCTGTTGATACACTGCTGCAGCTGCTTTTGAATGATCTTCAGCAAAATTTTACTTGTGTGTGATATTAAAGATATTGTTCGATAATTTCTGCCTTCTGTTGGATCACCTTTCTTTGCAATGGGCATAAGTATGGATCTCTTCCACTTAGTTGGCCAGGTAGATGTCTTCCAAATTTCTTGGCACAGATGAGTAAGTGCTTCAGCGTTGCATCCATTTGCTGAAACATCTCAATTGGTATTCTGTCAATTTCTGGAGCCATGGTTTTTGCAAATGCCTCCAGTGCAGCTCAGACTTCTTTCCTCAATAACATCGGTCTTGATCACATGCTACCTCCTGAAATAGTTGAATGTTAGGGCGTAACAGGTTACAATTCAGGATGAGGAACAACTCAGGATATGGTTCTTCAGTCAGGACTGCCTCTTTTCAGCCATGACTGCAGGCAAGCCTTTCTCTAACCCTCAACCTCTAGGACTCCTGTGCCCTGCTCAGGTAAGTGTTACAAAGCTCTTTAGCTCTGCCAATAAGTGCAGGGCATGTCACTCCACCGGGAAGCCCACTGCACCCTCTCACACTGGCGTCCTGGTTCCACTGCCGCCATTTCTCTGCCACTGCTTCTCACCATGTTGCGCCGCCTCCAGTGTTACAGCTCTGTCTTCTTGTTCTAGGAGGTTCTTAGTGCAGGGACCCCAGGTCCAAAGGACGTTCTCTGCTCCTGTCTTTTCTTCTTGGTAGTAGTGATGTCTCCCCTTTTCTACCTCTGGGATGGCTCATTTTAAGGCTAGTGGGATGGCAAAACTGACCAATCCCCTTGGTTAGGGCTCCATACACCTTATTTGCATGGTCCCACTCCCACAAGGATTCTATGCACCTTATTTGCATTATTAGCAAGTTGTTCAATCCTCTTGGTGGGCCACAAGCACTTTATTTGCATAGTCTCACCCAATCATTTGGTGGGAGTTATAAGATAATGGTGAGAAAGGCTATATAAAAGTGATCAATCACTGCATGATGTCACAGATATATATGAAAGTAAAATTTATTAGGACTTAAATAATTTTAAAACACAGTTCAGAAAAAAGTTTAATAAGTGCAACTTTTTTGCCTTGTATACTTTCTGTATCACCTTCAAGATAAAATCCAAACTCCTTAACATATGGCTCCTTCCAAGCAAACCTCTACACCCATCATGTACAAAACAGCCATACCAGAGTACCAAGATTCTCCCATACAATGCCTGCTTACACTTCCATACCTTAAAAAACCCTCATTGTCTTTCAAGATTCAGTTCAGTTCTATTCTTCAGAAAAACCCATTCTCTAACCTCAAGTGATGTCCTTCCTCTGATTTCCTGAGATCCTGGCTGTTGGTCTACTCTAGCACTTATCACACTATACTGAACTACTGCTTTATTTGTTGGTTTCTCCCAATAGACTGCAAACTCCTGGAGTACAGAATTCTGTTTTCAACTCTGTATCTTTAGGCTCCGCCTCCATGCCTAGTCTGTAGCAGATGCTCCATAAATGTTATGGATGGATGGATAGGTGAACAGATAGATGGATGAGAGGAAAAAGAGAAAGAAGAAAAGAAGATGAACTGAGAAACTAGTGTGACACGAGTCAGAAATTTTCAGGCAATATAGTAGCAACTGCAAGGATATAATGGGTTCAATGACTGTCACCCAGACAATTACTAGACACATTCCAATCACACTGTACGTATTTATCACTATTTTTTCTCTCTCCCCTCCCTTAGCCTTGACTTTTTCTGCTTTTTCTTCCACCTCTCTTGATTAACAATTTACACTTCATAGGGCTTTTCTCTTCATACTTACTCTTCATACTTCTGTGGTAGTTATTATGTGTCCCTTTGTTTTGTCAAGTAATCAAGCTCAGAGAGGTTTTCTCCAGTTTTGTTTAAGCTTTGCACGTAAAAGGAGCCCTTGCAAGCACTGCAGAGGTCCACAAACAACCCTCTGAGCTATAGCTGTTACCATCACTAGATGTGGTCAAACATGCAATTCTAGTGAAGTCAGAATAAAAATGTAAGTCTTTTTCCCAAGTATTTAGAACCAAGTTCCAGAAAGAAATCTTACCCATTGCTTGTTTCCCCATGGCACACTGGTACGTGTTTCTTGGGGACTGGTTATGATGAGGGTAGGGGATCAGGCCAGCACAAACACCGAGAAGAGTGAAGGGTTCAATCTCCAAATGAGTGGTATCTCTATCAAGTCAATTAAGAGTTAGACATCTTAGGCATCAAATACTAAAATAAATGTCTCTTAAAGGGTCTTCAATGGATTTATAAGACAAAATTGATACTAGTAAAACTGATAAAATACTTGAAATACTTAAAATGTAAGAAAACATAAGAAATTACAATAATTTTTATTAGTGATAGAAATACAGGAGAAGAAAGACAATATGAAATATCTATACAGACATTAAAAAATAAGGCATTATTACATACTAAGTAATAAAAACTCTTATAAAGCAATTGCTATATTGAGCATATAAGATAGAATCAACAATATCCACATAGATGAGTAATCTGCTTTTCCAATTTACATCAGTGAGACAGTTTTATCACCATTTTAGAGGAAGGAAATATCCCCTTTAAGAGAGCCACAGTGATCAATACTATAGTCAGTAGCCAAATGTAGCTATTGAGCACTTGAATTGTTAGACTAGTGAGCTGAGGAACTTAAAAAATCAAATTTAAATAACTCAATTCAGTTATTTAAAAATTTTAATTATGTTTAAGAAGCCCTGGTAGCGGAACAGTTAAGTGCCTGGCTGTTAACCAGAAAGCTGGCGGTTAGAACCCACATAGCAGTTCCGTGGGAGAAAGATCTGAAGATCTGATCCCATAAAGATTACAGCCTAGAAAACTCTATGGAGCAATCTACTCTGTTATAGGGTCACTGTGAGTTGTAATCTACTTAACTTCTCCCTGAAGTGTTTAAGCATATCCTTAACAACTTCTCTATAGTAAGTGTAGAGAGAAGTGATTTCCAAGATAACCAGATCCCAGCCCATCATGGAAATTCAGTATAGTTGCAATGTACCTGATAAAAGGTCTCCCATTTATCCAGTTATCTGTCTGTTTTTCCCCCCAATACACATGTACTGAATTACGTCCACGGTTTGGTGAGAGAGGATGTTTTCCATGTAGTTCTTAGTTTGAAGAATATAGTTGTGACCTTATGATCCGGCAGAGCCCCAATCCTTTCAGACACTTTAGGCCTTTGTCAGCAGGGGAGTAAAGAGCTCTAGGTTTGGTTTGTTTTTTAAGAGCATCAGTTTAAAGCTACATTTTATAGCTTAGAATAAAACAAGAGTTTGTTTCAAACATACTGTTTTGTTTAAATATTGACCAAGTTGACATTCCCAATATAAACAAAAGTCACTTTTTCAGATATAAAAGTCACTTTTTCAGATATAAAAGTTGAGGTAAGCCAAAAAATGAAGAAGGAAGAAAGCTGAAGTCTCTCTTTTCTTTTTTTTCCACGACAACAACATATATAAGATCATATATTGTTCAATAATTATTGAAAAGTCTAAACATTCTGGATTCTGATTTTACAAAAAAAGAAAGGTAAATTATTATTATTTCCTTCAAAGTCATAACCACCCTAAGATTCTATCCTGAACAAGAATTGGGAGACTTCCTATTTACCATGCATTAATCCAGCCTTAAATCCAGCTCAAATTAAAACTAAGTAACATAGTGCTTTTAATAGTAGAAAAATTGGAAACAGCCTAAATATTTATCAACAGGGATCAAATTAAATAAACTATATATATGTAGGCAGACAATGAAATAATAAGTAGTAATTAAAAATAATAAGATACATATTAAACATTATATGTATATAATACATCATATACATATATATACACTCCAAACCAACCAAACTCATTGCCATCAAGCTGATCCCAACTCATAGCGACCCTAGAGGACAGAGTAGAATTGCCTCATATGGTTTCCAAGGCTGTAATCTTTATGGAAGTAGACTGCCATGTCTTTCTCCCACGGAGCAGCTTGTGGATTTGAACCACTGAACTTCCAGTTAGCAGCCAAGCACTTTAACCACTGCACCACCAGGGCTCCATATACATACAGAAATATGGAAAAATGTCCATAATATACTTTTAAGTTTAAAAATCAAGTCACTGAAATTATGTTGCCATTGTTTTACGTATATACATCGTGTGGGATCACGTACATATATTTGTATTCACTTAGAAAAATATCTAGAAGAGTACATACTAAACTATTAGCATTGGCTACTTCTTGAGGATAGAGTTTGGTGGGATGGGGAAGGTAAAAGATTAATTCTTTTTACTTTATATGTTTCTATATTTTTTTAAAATTTCATAAGTATAATTATCTAATACAAAAATTCTGCATACTTATGTTCATTTATAGCAATGAACAAAACAGATTAAAAACCCTTGCCTTCCAACATTTGAAGAAAATTCTGATAATTTTCCAGAAGTGTTATAGGACACTAATCCTCAATTCCAGGAATTCTAACAAATCTGAATAATGGAAAAGAAATACACACTTGGATACACTGTAATAATCTGAGGAACACCAAAGATAATGTGATTATTTTGAAAGCAGCCAGAGAGAGAAGACAGATCATCTTTCAGAAAGGAAGGTATGACCTTTTGGTTACTAGTTGAGCGCGTAAACATTTGTGCCATGCAGAGTCTCCTTCTATAATCAGAATATGTTTTAATTATGGTTATTAAAGATCCTACTTACTTATTAATTGTATGTTCATAGAGTGCGATGTTACAGTCATTTTCTTCATTCACATCTAAATATTCAACCAGACTCTCATGTAAGAAATCTTCAAAATTCCTGGGAAAATATTGGTGAAACACATTATTAAAAAGCATGTAACTACAGTATTTTATATGTAATAGCAAAAGATACTGGCTTTTTTTAGGCCTGAACCATTTTTCTCTCCTAGGGAATATCAATACACTGAAGAGATAGCTAGAATATGCTATTCTTGGATCAAAGAATGATCACAAACTGCTAAAACAAAAATAGCAAAATGTCTGTGATTCTTGTCAATCTGGTCCACATTTCTGAAAAATTCACACCAATCTAAACAAATTTTCTATAACTTAAGAAACTCCCTCTGATGAAAGACTCACATTGTCTGTATCAACATATTGCTGTAAGTCCTTCTTTTACTAGAAACACTTAACCCTCATGATCTAAAATGATAAATACTTTACAATGTCCAAGTAGGTTAATATGGAGAATACATTTGTAATGGGCTGATATATTGGTGGGGAGGAATTAAGAGACTAAAAATGAAAATACAATTTTCTTAAAAGCACAGCTCGGATAACATTACTGATGAATAAATCATATACATAAGCATTAAGGAGACCGATAAGTTTGGTTTATTTACCTGTAGCCCTGAGCCAGCTCCTCCATATGCTTATCTGTTACTGCAGGCTTCTGTTTCTTAACAATTATGTAGGGTCTAGAAGGGGGAAAAATTCATAGCAGTTCAGCTGAAGAATTAAGTTGGCAAGTAAGTTTATGACAGTGAAATGAGGGAAAATGTAGATACAGTCAAACTCATTCCTGGGTTGCTTTAAGACACCAGGTATTTTCTTGCACGTGTAAGTATGTGTGGGCCTGTTCGCTCTCTTTCTCTCACATATGTCGAAGTTAATTTATGTATATGTACACATGCACATGTACACACATACACATAAGTATCTTAGAAAACATTTGGTCTTAAATGAAAAGACAAGACAAAAATGATACTCAGAAAAGTCTAGAGAAGAAATTAAACCTTTAATGTCATATTTTTTAAAATGGGTAACTGATCCTACCAAAAGCATCTCCTGATTTCACACTGGGAATATCTGATACACTACCCATGGGGTCAGTAGACAAACAAGCCCTGTCATTGAGAATAATAATGGCGTTTTGCAGTGAGGGTCCTGGAGAATATCCAGGTAGTTAGAGTGGTCTGATTTAGGATAAGCATCACTTGACTAGACTAGCAGGTCACTTAGACCTACATATGACCAAAAAGAGTGGCTCTGAGTTTGCAGAGAACAGGGCTTTCTTACTTTCTTGTTTTGGTGCTGTAATGGGTGTGAGGTAGAAAGAGCCTTCTGTCTACACACTGTTAGATTGACCTGTAACTGTCAGTGGGGACTGGACCATCTGAAGGCTTCGCCACCCCGAGGAAACATGGATACAAAGGATGGCATGCGGCACCGAAACGTCAAGGGCTGTTGCTATTTGGATAAGCAGCTCTTACAGGGAGGACCAAGTGACCACAAGACACTTGTGCGTTCTGCCCTAAAGTCCAAATAACTGAGGGCTAATGAACACTTTTACACAGTTCAGAAGAGGAGCTGCACAATTACAAAAGGGGGACACAAGCTGCTGAAAAATGAACTGGATGAGCTTTTCATGGAAATCAATGTTACCTCAAGATTCTGGCTGCTTCTTGGTGGGGAAGTCGAGCAAATCTGCTGCCTCACTCTGGGGCTGCCCCTTAGCTCAGGGTAAGAGACTCAGAAGTGATGACAGAAACAGGAGTGGGCAAGAAGGAGGGGATCGCATTTAGCTACTTCAGGTGTCCTTCACTCAATAAATTCTACTAATTCTTCCTGCAGGGTCTGTGTTGTGCCTTTATAAAATCACCTCTAAAAAAGAATTCATTTTCTTTTAGAATATGCCATATTATGCTGGGTATGATGAAACAGAAAAATCTTTTCTAGAGTGAGCTAGAAAATCATTGTTTTTTCCTCCCCTAATTGGATCATGTTGTTAATAGCTATAAATGAGCACTTAGTGTGTGTAAGGCAACCGAAAAGGAACTTAACACAACTAGTTCTCAGGATAATCCTACTTAAGCATTATTATTTCTATTTTACAGCCAAGGAAACCAAGGCTTGGCGACCTAAATAATAAACTCAGAGTCACACAACTCAATCAGCAGGAAGTTAAGATTTGAATTAGGTATATCATCAGTTAAGAGTTCTTTGGTGGCAAAGAACTCTAGCTAATTTAAGCAAAAATGGAATTTACTGGAAGGATAAGAATAGGAATAGGATAGCTCACAGGCTCAAAGAAAAAGGTGAAACACTCAGTCTCGAAAGAAAAGGAAGTAGAGGAGTCCCAAGAATCCACAAAACAAGAAGTAATGAGCAGTCTCTCTCGTGTTACTGTCAGGATAGATCAGTTCCAACAGTTCTCCATCTGTGAGCTACCCTATTTGGGATTCAAATTCGCTGAGGAGAGAGTCTGACTGGCCTGGCTTGAGTCATACGTCTAACTTTTGGCTGGGGAGGAGAGGGCACCTGACTGACTGTCTCAAGAAGATTGCCAGTGGGGAAGGACAATGCCCAAACGAAAATGAGGCAGGGATATCAGAAGGGGAAATGGATGCTGGAGAGACACAAACGTTGGCAATGGCAAGTTCAGCTCTGACTGACTTCCAAGACAAAGCTCTCTCCACCACTCTACACTACTGCCAGCTCACTGTCTTCTGTCTTAACACCACCTGAGATCTACCAAGAATGCCTACAGGGAACAAGGTAATGCCCTCCGCTGATGCCCCTGCAGATCCCCAAAGACCAGATCATACGTTATATTCATCTTCATACCCCCAGCTTCTAGACAGTATCTGTGCATTATGTTGTTGTTGTTGTTGTTAGGTGCTGTCGAGTCTGTTCTGACTCATAGTGACCCCACGTACAACAGAATGAAACACTGCCCAGTCCTGCGCCATCCTCACAATCACTGCTATGTTTGAGCCCACTCTTGCAGCCACTATGTCAATTCATCTCATAGACGATCTTCCTCTTTTTCGCTGACCGTCTACTTTACCAAGTGTGATGTCCTTCTCCAGGGACTAGTCCCTCCTGATAACATGTCCAAAGTGCTTGAGATGAAGTCCCACCATCCTTGCTTCTAAGGAGCATTCTGGCTGTACTTCTTCCAAGACAGATTTGTTTGCTCTCTGGCAGTCCATGGTGTATTCAGTATTCTTCACCAACACCATAATTCAAAGGCATCAACTCTTTTTCAGTCTTCCTTACTCTTGTCTAGCTTTCGCATGCATATGAGATTATTAAAAATACCATGGCTTGGATCAGGTGCACCTTAGTCCTCAAAGTGACATCTTTGCTTTTTAACACTTTAAAGAAGTCTTTTGCAGCAGATCTTCCTAATGTAATACATCATTTGATTTCTTGACTGCTGCTCCCCTGGGTGTTGATTGTGGATCCAAGTAAAATGAAATCCTTGACAACATCAGTCTTTTCTCCGTTTATCATGATGTTGCTTATTGGTCCAGTTGTGAGGATTTCTGTTTGCTTTATGTTGAGATGTAATCCATACTGAAGGCTGTAGTCTTTGATCTTCATCAAGAAGTGCTGAATGAATAGAGGGATCCCACTTTTCTATTGGACCTAATGTTGTTTTCTTTCTTCATGCCTCCAAGTTTTAATTCTTGCCATTCTTCAGCCTTTCTCCTTTCCCTCTTTATCCAGGTAACACAATCCTATTCATCCTTTAATGCTCAGTTCATATAAATATTGTGGATAAAATCATGATTGCTGGAGTCAGATGAATTCAAACAACTTTCAAGTAAAAAACAGACTCCACCGCTATCTTTCGGTATGTTACGATGAACCTCAATTTCCTCATTTGCTAAAGGAATATAATAATTCCAACCTCATAGAGTTGCAGGTAGTTAGTGCCTTACGTGTAGTACATCTATTAAAACAATAAATAGTGCCTATTATTTATTATTTGCATAAATGATTATTCTTAGCAATTATTTCTGCCTCTGAGCTCTCTGAGGGCACAGACTGCCTTCTGTTAATTTCTGAATCCTCAGAATGTAGTAGGCATATTCTTAAAGTATTTGCTAACTGAATTAAATTTATCTTAATAATGAAAGAGGCTGAAACAGCTTCAAAAATAGAAACCAGTCTATTCGTTTAGAAAGTAAACGTAGAGAGGAGCCCTGATGGCGCAGTGTTTAAGAGCTCGGCTGCTAACCAAAAGGTCGGCAGTTCGAATCATAGAGAGATTCTTAAAAACTCTTAGCAACACATACCTGCACAGCCTTCCTCCGTCGGAGGAAATATAGACACAGCGATCTGTAAGATTTGTTGAGATGGAAACAAATTCATTGATATAACCTGCTCTTCGCATCAGTCGAAATGTATTCACCAGCTTCTTATGGTCTCGAATGACACCCAGGATGTTACCTATGCACCAACAAGTGAGAATATATAAGACAAAAATGAAAAACAAATCTAATCTGATTAAAAATACTGATTCAATCAAAATAATAGGCAGCATCAAGTAGTCATTTGAAAATATTTTATTAAGGCCTGAGGCCAGCCCACAAGGCCGCAGGGAAGCAACATGGCAGAGTGGTAAAGGGTGGTCCAAGGGACCCAGAGTCTGAGGCCAGCCCTACCATATGCTGGCTGGGTAACACGGGCAGGTTGGCCTCATTTTCCTCATCTGTCAGCACAGTGCCAGGAGTGTATACTACGGGCCCAGACTGTCTGGGTTTGAACATGACTCTATCACCTCCACGGGTGGTTGTGAGGAATAAATGAGTTGATCTATGGAAGGCACTTAGCACTCTGCCTGGCACCTAGTGACAGCTACTGTGACACTGTTCTTGTGATCCTTGTTGGTGAAGTGAGGAAAATGGACTTTGCCTCATAGATTGGCATGAGGATTCAGAGAGGTACTAGGTGAAAGTGTAGAGGGGCTCACTAAATGTTAGTTTCTGGGATATACTAAACAAGGCAATCGATGAATAACACTGCTGAGGTTCTGACCTCTTTCCTTCTCACCAGCCCAGATGGTAAAGGGTTAATGCCTTCCAGAGAAGGAGGAAGGGGGTGAAGAAAAGAGACAGTAAGCCAAATGGTCAGGGATGAGCCCCACAGCACACTGTTGAGGGGAACACGCACACAGACCGCCAGACCAAAGGTTGAAAGGACAAAGGCACACTTGCTGCCCTTGTCTCTAAAGGACTTTTGAAGGAGGTGGAAGGGGTGTGTGAAAGGAGTAACTGGAGTATGAGCCAAAGGAAGGGGGCTCTCTTGCCTCCAGTTGTTGAAATATCAATTGCCAAATAGCTGCACAAAAATCAACTGCTGGAAGGGCTGATCTGATTATTTTTGCAGAATGACTCAGACATTTAACTTGTACTTAAATACACCATGCTGAGCCTTATCCCACCATGGGTATGCTAGCATCTGTGAAAGGGAAGAAAGCAGCCCATCTCTGCAATGTTACCCTTTAGTTATGATAGCTGTATATGCTTAGAACCGGGATAAACCAGCCAATGGAATAACTGTCTCTATTAGCATTTTTTTCTACCACTAAAGGTTAACCTGGGCCCAGAATTAAAGCGTATCTGTACTTTCAATAGATGGCAATAATGGATCTCCTTCCTCTTCTCCACAGGTCATGTAAGATCAACATGTCCCTGGAACAGACTCACCATTGAGGAAGACGAGGAACACATTTGGGTAAGAGAGCTCTTCCCCACATAATAAATTCACATCTTCTACTCCCAGGTTACTGGCTAATTTAACAATGGGCCCATCTTCCATGTCAGTGGTGATGTGTGTCATAAGAGCCAAGTTTTTAACCAAACCACAAGCCTAAAATACAAAAGATAGTCATTTCTAAGAATGAACACTAGTAATACAAAGTACAGTTTGTATCTGTAAATAGTTCACTACTGTGCTGGTGGCAACATAAAGCAGTACAACCTTGAGAAGGACACTTTGGTCTCTCATGTAAAAGTGATACAAACATACATACCCTTTAACCCAGAGGAACTTACCTAAGATGATACCTAACATTTAGCCATAAAAATGCTCAGCACAGTACTATCTGTAACTGTAAACAATGACCACATCATAAATGTCTAACAAAAAGAAACTGATTACATAAACTGTTACTCCCAGACTATGGAACATCATGGCCGTGAAAAGGACAGTGTATAAAAACAGTAAAACACTGATAATCTCAGCTACATAAAAATATAAAATTTCTAGCAAGAAATGGGAGGTATTCTATAACTGGTCATACTCTAAAGTTTCCTTGGTTATGAAAAGTAAAGAAAGACTGAAGAAACTGTTCAGATTAAAGGAGACTAAAAGACATGACAACTAAAAGCAATGTGTGATCCTGGACCAGAAAGAAAGACATAAGTGGGATAACTGGCTAAATTTGAATAAGGTCTATAGATTATAGTATTATTATTTCACGAGGTTGATAACTGTACTACAGTTCTGTAAGATGTTCACATGTGGGGAATCTAGGTGAAGAATTATGGAAATTCTATGTACTATTTTTGTAAGTCTGACATTATTTCAAAATGAAAAGGAAATAAAAAATATTTTTAAACTTTTATACAACCAAAAAATTTGAAAACACAAATATGAACAAGGATGAAATACAGTAAGCTGAGAAAAAAACACTTGGAACACATGAGTTAGGTAAAGGTTATATCCTGAATTTTTAAAAGCCATCTGCCACAGTAAGGCACAAAGTAGGTACTTTACTGAAGTTAGCCGAAGTACTCGCTGGGAAATTGTTTCAAAGTTCAAGAGGTGTAAGTTGTGCAAATCTGACAAGTGCCATAATTTTAGTGTGAATTTCCATATGGTTTAAGATAAACTAGGAGAATAATAATAATTTCTAAGAATCAGAACTCTGCATGGACTCCTACTTTTTACCTCTTCCAAGTTTTAACAAATCCCTACACTTTGGAACCTATGACTTTTACTTGTTATAAAATTAACTGACTGATTCATTCAGCATATATATATGCACAAGAACTCTCCTCTGAATTAGGCTCTGTGCTAGGTGCTAAGGATACAATGGTGACCCTAACAAGGTTCCTTCATCCAGAAGTTTACAATTTAGAAGGAAAAGAAACAAGTGAAACCAATAATGATAACACTAGGAAGTAGTAGGTCTTACAGAAGCATATCTACTTAAACTCTTTGGATTAGTGTTAAGGTAATTGCTTGTGTTTCCTATATAAGTGAGTCTGAATCGACTTTAGTTCTTGAACTGTGTGCTCCTAATTGGCTGCAACTGTGTCTGTGATTTCTTGTAAGTACACCAAATGAAACTGAGAAGTTGCTCAAAAAAAGTTCCTCATGAGCATCCACGGTGACAGGTCTCTCAGTTTCCCTTTACACTCTCATCCTCTCTCCACTGCATGGTTTGATTCTTGAGATAAACTAAAATAAGCAAGAGAAATGTGGACCATGTTTCTATTTAGGTAAGATTCTGAATCAAATGCTTCTGTAGGTACTAGCTTTAGAGCAATACCGACGCAGTCCTAACAAGCTGCATCAATACTTCTCTGCCAGCGAAACGGCTAACCAACAAAAGGATATGTCCTGGGGTGGGGGGAGCAGACGCCAAACCCCACCAGTTGGTATGACCTCTCACACAGCACAGAGCCACCTTAGGTTCCTTACCTCTCCCTCAGGAGTATCCGAAGGACAGAGCATCCCCCACTGAGATGGCTGGAGGGATCGCGGACCACTCACTTTTCTTGTTTTTTCAAACTGGGAAGAGATTCTTGTCATCATGCCCAGTGCAGATATATATGACAAGCGAGACAGCACTTGAGTCACACCTTGGCGGTCCATTTTAAATCTCTTTAGAGACCAATTTCCCTGTAGGGAGAAAAAAGCCATAAGACTACTACTAGTTCATTCATAATGTTGCCTGATACTTTATAGTCACTCTGAGGAGTTCATCATAGAACTACTTATTTATGAAATTGTTGTTGTTAGGTGCCGTTGAAGTTGGTTCTGACTTACAGCAACCTTATGTACAACAGAACGAAACACTGTCTGGTCCCGTGCCATCCTCACAATCATTGCTATGCTTGAGCCCATTTATTGCAGCC